AACAATCATCCTTTGTGAACAGAGAAAGAAAATCTCCAATGTCTTTCCACGACACACGCCTGGGGGCACATAGATTTATAACTGCCTTAAGGAGAAAGCTCTGAATAGCACTTGTCAGGTGTGGGCTGAACGGTCTAAAGAGGGGAAAAATGTCACGAATGCTTGCCAATGCACTAGAATCCCAGACAGGGCAAGACGGCAGACTCGCTAACATCTGGGATATAAAGACCAAAGGAACTTGTGAAAACTCTTGTTTCACCACAGCAGATAAGAGCCCCGAACAAAATAAACGTCTGTTATCTGCTGACAGGGCCTTTACAAACTCTGGGAAGAAGGCGACAAGCGCAGCCCCCACAGGGGGAGGGTCTCCTCTGAGGCCCTCGTCTGCTCTGGTGTAGATTGCATACTCAGCGAGCATGTTCATTAGAGGGCCGTATAAGAACCACCAGTGACAGGTGTTCAGAAGTGGTGAATCACACAGGTCCATGCTGAGCAGGTCGAGAATGGCCCATCGGCAGATGGACTTGGTGTCGTGTTGAGCTGCTCTTTGGTACAGTGTCAGAAGCCAGGAAATGTCCAGCATTACATCACCTGCACACACAAAAAAACAAAAACAGACAATCAAAAATTAAACCTTTTAACTTTCATCAGTGATCAAGATACAATTTCTCCTTACATTATCAATACAATATCAACCAGATAAGTGATGAGAGTAAAGAAAAATATCAATTTGGGGATAATTAGTTGATCCAATACTAAATTCTCTGAACTAACATTATAAGAATTGCATGGCTGACAGGGAGGAAATTTACAAATGTAATTTGGGAGTTAAAGGGTTAATAACAGTGGAAAACATGAAAACATGCTTTTAAGCAATACAGACTGGTTCTCATGGGTGTGAAAATCTATCTGGGCCATTTCCCAATTTCAAACACCCTCTCTTTTATAATGAGCCTATGGGTTTGACACAATAAAAGAACACACCTTTTCTGCTATCTGTGGTTATGATCCATCAAATATTTTTGATTGTGCACAATTAGCCTAAATGCATCATGTGAGCAAACATTCCTGACTAAAACTGGGGATATCCGAGGATATCCCCCAAATGATATTTCCCAATTTGAATCTTATGTCCACTATGATAAGTGTTTGTTTAATATTTAATTCAAGATGAGAGAAAGCGTTGTAAGGTTGTTACTGAAGAAAGGAAATATTTGTTTGTCCATAAATTCTTTGCAAAGAAAACTGAAAATAAAATATCTCATGCAGCAAATAGTAAGCTGTTTATAAACAATTTTTCACATGTGTTGTGAAATATTTGAAGGCTAATAAACACAATAGCCTCTATTTTGCACAAAAATATGTTAGCATATTTGTCCTTGGGCATCATCTGTTACTCGAAGCTGACAGCTTTCCTTGAACTTCACGCTCAGAAAACTGTTCAGATCTTGGAACAGATTATACCAAGGGACAAATATTTGTGCATATTTTTGTGCCAAATAGAGGCTATTGTTTATTTATTCTGATAAAATTGCACTCCCTCTAAATCATGAGATACACAACTTAAGCAGTGCCGGGTTGATCATCATTTCAATTCAATTCATGCAGACTGTCAAAATATTCAAAATGTAAGCAATTCAAACTGTTTGTATCAAATTACTAATTTATATATAAATATCAACCACAGTGTAACATTTGCCCACTGACAAAGTACAAATGTTCCTTAAAACTTATCACAAAGTTAACATATTCTTTAGCAATCAGTATCTTACCATTGTCGTCTCTCTTTGTGGCACATAAAATACTTGAGATCCGAGGAAGCACTGGTTTGATAAGATGCCCCTGAAAGAAAGTTTGTGGGTATCATAATTTAAGATGCAAATTCTTCTATCTTGCCAATAATATCACAAATCAGTCTTGTACATCTGTAGACATGCCGATTTTTATTTAGCTACCTGTTCATAATGGTTCTACACACGATGGTCATTATTGATGCTCCACAAAGCCCAGAAAAGGATTTAACAGTTACAGGGTATAAAACTGTTCAAACATGTGATGAGCTTAGACAAACTTGTCAAATGGAGATGTTATTTTGGTATAAATGTCATATCAAATTCTCTTGACGTATTTAACCCTATAACTCCCAACATCTGATTGTTCATTCTCTCATCTGGTTGCGAGACATTTCCTTGTGAGTAAGTTATAAGAATTTGGTGTTAGATCAAGAGAACAACTTGATAGTTTGACTATTCTCATTACCTGTTTGCTGGATGATGTATAGATATTATAAGGAGAAATTACATGTTGATCACCTCTCAGAGTTAAAGGGTTAGAAGGAATGGTTTTGCATCTAGAAAGAAGAATTGTAAATCAGATCTTGAGAGTTAAGAAAGAGAATACTTTTCTGAAGTCAGAGAATACACACATTTGGTAACAGGAAAAAAAAAAGTTTTACACACACCACTTTATTTTTGCTTAAGGATGACTGAATACCTGTTGTGAATTTTTTTTATTATACCTGCTTTTCCTCCAGTGTCTCCATTAAAAGAACATAATCCTGCCATACTCTCATGCAAGAGTCCTTCTTATTGCGTGACCAGCAAAATATCTGCAATCCTTTGTCATTCTGCACCAGTAAATCACATGGTTGTTTATCTAGCAAGTCCAATGTTCTCTTCAACAGATACATGGCTCTTTTCCTAGAAAGAGGTTCCTCTAACACCAGTCCTTTCTGAATGATTTCCCAAAACTCTGCTTTGTGAAAGAGACTTTCATTGCCACAAGTGTAGAAGAAATCAGCAAGACCACAAAGAATGGCATAGGTTTGATTGAATGTTCCAGGAATAGAACCAGCTGCTTGGGATTCAAATATCTGTTTCACTGTACTCCACACAGCCTGTTAATATTCAGCAACAACACCATGATAACACATGAACCTTATGAATGCCGCTCACTAGAAAGGCTTAAAGTTCTGGTGTAACAATCAACACTAACTTCTCAACCAGTACTAATGATTTGATTCTTACAGCTGATCAGGCTCTCGAAAAGCATAATAATGGACAAATTTGACATGAAAATTCATCTCTAACATTATCAAAGATGGTTGCCATATAAGCATGCACAGAAAAAGAAATAATGTCTTAGAATACCTCTAAACCCCCTACACCTTTAGATCAGTATGTTCATTCTCCATACTGTTCTTTCTACATTTCCTATGGCACTGACTGAGAATTTAGTTAAAAATCTAGAAGTTTTCAAGTTTGCCATGTGCTTAATATTTGATTCAGCAGCAATACTTTAATGAGAAACTGTAGGTGCCAGTCATAATTGATCACCCTGAGGGGTGTAAAGGTTCAGGGTTATTTGTTTGAGTATTAAAATTTTCATTGTAGTGTAAAATTAATTTAGACTCTCTCTCAGGCGCAGCCTTATGAAACTTATAATGAACGGCTAAGAATATATGAAAGTCATATATTTGAACTGCAGATAAAGACATGAATGAAAGTGATCCTTGCAGTAATGTGCACTACTTGAGCAGTAGTGAAAATAAGGCCTGAAAAAATTCAGGCCTGTATGGGATTTGAACCCAGAATATATGAAAGTCATATATTTGAATACATGAATGAAAGTCATATATTTGAGCAGTAGTGAAAATAAGGCCTGAAAAAATTCAGGCCTGTAAAGAATATATGAAAGTCATATATTTGAATGAAAGTGATCCTCACAGTAATGTACACTACTTGAACAGTAGTGAAAATGAGGCCTGAAAAAAATTCAGGCCTGTACAGGATTTGAACTCATGACCTCTGCGATACTGGTGCAACACTCTACCAACTGAGCTAACAAATATATATTCTTAGCCGTTCATTCATCACTTCACGGGTTTATTTGGAACCAACATAATGACCAGCTCCCAGTTGGCTTGTTGGCTCAGTTGGTAGAGCGCTGCACCGGTATTGCAGAGGTCATAGGTTCAAATCCTGTAGAGGCCTGAATTTTTTTCAGGCCTTATTTTCACTACTGCTCAAGTAGTGCACATTACTGCGAGGATCACTTTCATTCACGAAACTTATAATGATAACATCCTAACGGTGACCTGTGACTCACCTCGCAACGTGTTTCTCTATCAAATTCCAAGAAATTTGGAAGAACAAGGCTGGTTACTTTCCCGCATAAGCTTTCAGTTGTAAAAGGTAAAATATTTAATAACTCCTGAAAGAGCGTATTTCCCAGTTCTCCAGAAATTATATGAGTACTTTCCGAAGGGCTTAAGGCAGCTGGCTTCACAAGATTTCCAATAAGATCTAGTGTTACTGAGACATCAACTGCGTTCTCCTCTGTTGAACCCAATTCCACGACGTAGCGCTTTAAAATCTGGAGGCACTTTTCGCTTACCACTGGAAGCAAAGTTTCCGGAAACACTGAACAGCAGAAGGCTATAATATCGTAACAAAGATGAAGCCTTTTTCGCCTGTGCACAGAAGGCTGATTGCTGTCATTAGATTTGTACACGATCGGCCAACAAATCTCAAATAAGACCTTAGTGGCTAAATCTTCACCAAAATCTTTGGATTTTTCAAGGGTATCTAGCACTAGTTTTAGCGTTTCTAAGAAATTTGTATCGAGTATAATATCTTTCCGTTCTATGAACTGTTTCAAAACGGGCAAGATTTGGTAATGATCGGAATTTGTACATATGAATTGAACTAAGTCAGCCATTCTGCTACACGAGGTCGACGAAACGTTCCAGGCTTGAAGTTTAGCCGGTAGCCCACGTGCAGCCGTACCCTCCCCCCGAAGGTTAAACGAAGGCAGGTGAAAATATATAGGCTGGTGAATTTCCCTACCCCCTCCCTCAAAGTAAGTTATTTATCCTCGTGGGAGATGGAACTAACATTTCATTGGCTAATTGCCTTTGCAGACAACCAATCAAGATGATTGTGATTAATTTTAGATTTTATAGCGCGAGCTCAGAAATTACTTACTCAGTGAAGAGTCCATCGCTGCTAATTGACTGATTACAGCCGGGCGGAACTATTTTCCTCGAAAACGGGTAGAATTTGCTTGTTCAACAGTCTCAAAATGGGTCAGTTCGTGTCTACGGCCCTTACAGCGCTAGGTTTTTCACACCCTAGTTTTAATGACAATGTATTGTTATTCAAAAAAATAAGCGATCGGGCCACAACTCCGAGCCGAGGGTCAGACTTGGCGGCGGGATACGACTTGTACAGTGCGGAAAATGTAGTAATTCCTAAGCAAGGGAAGGCTTTGGTAAAAACTGACATCGCCATAGCACTACCTGAAGGATGTTATGGACGAGTTGCTCCGAGGTAAGGAAGAAAATTGCGATTTCTATGCGCCAAAATCGGAAAATTAGCCTCGAGAAACCTCGTGTTACAAGGGAATGAAATATTGTACACATTTCTGCAGAATTTCCAGTTAGTACATCCGAGAAATTAGGCTGTGTGTCCTTGTTAAGAACCAGTTTCATTATTCTCGCTGCTAGATTGGCAAATTTCCCAGTTTGTTGTAATTTTGATAGAATATACGTGATGTTTCACTTTGGCGGGAAAATTCCCACTATTATTTTACGGGACTCATAGTCGCTTTCAATTTCAGTTTGGTACAATAACTTTAATTAAGAAAAATGAAGCTAAATTAGAACTTCTACAAGTTTTGTAGTTCATAAAGTCTGTAAAATCCAGCTGTAAAAAAAATTTTCGTATCAGTAATCACACGTCACGAAAGAATGAGCTATTGTACACATTTTTCAGAATTTCCAGCTCGTAAATCCGAGATAATTTGAGCACAGTGTCCCTGGCTACGAATCTATTTCATTATTTACAATTATAGATCCGCAAATTTCCCAGATTGTAGGAGTATTGAAAGAAAATAGTGTTTCGCTTTGGCGCGAAATATCCCGCTATAATTTATTCTTGAGCTCAGGTATCCTTTCTATAAGTTTGATGAAGATAAGTGAGGCTGATGTAGAGCTTCTATTGTTAGTCTATTTTGTAAAGCTAGTCAAAACTAGCTGTTAAGATTATTTTCCAAATAGTGCCATTAATGAGTTGAAATTGAGGGGAAATGAAGCACATCTTTAAAATTGGACAGAGATTATTTTTTTCTCATTTATATCTGACACCATAGAAGCTCTGACATTAAATGTTTTTTTTTTGTCTATTAAAGTTAAATAAATTTATAGTGAAACAAGATCAGGCTGCTTGGATTAGTTTTCTCTGGCTTTTAATTTCTGTGGAAGAGTCCAAAAAATTAATGATCAATAACAACTATAAGGAATTGTCGGTTGACACCCTTTCTTCAAATTAATAATTTGGAGTGTCTTAAGTTGCCCCTTGTCAGTAACCATGTGAACAGTAAGTTACAAATGTGTCAACCTGTGTTCAGTGTCTGTGTGGCAAATTGTAACCTTTTCTTAATTAGTGGTGTTTTTGTTTACAGAACTGAGTTATGTCTGTGCATGTCACAAATTAAAATAGGTTAATCTCCTCCATTCATTTGAGACCACTGTGTCACAAACACAAGCAGACAAAAGTCAATCTAGAACCTGTTAGGTTTTTGGCAATTACTCTAGGATTCAAGTCTGATTCCTGAAATACAAAGACTCAAAGGTTAAAACCTTTCTACTTCGGTCTTAACATGGCTCTTCAAACTTTTCAAAATTGTGCTATTTTACTGCAGTGTTGCTGTGGTTTCCCATAGAGACATGTGAACGTTTTTAACCAATTTTTTTACTTGTGAAAAGTTAAGGTGAGAGGAACATTTGCAAAGACATTGAAACTCACTCAAATCTTTTGTGATTTCACCATTGTGGAGAAACATCACCTTTCAATTTGCTTTGCTAAAATCTGTCTAGAAAGAAACATGCAGGTCAAATATCCTAATGTTGTTTTTAAGATAAGTTGATTGGTGATTAAACCTGGAATTCCATACTGGATTGTATATTCCATGGATCCACAATTCATTATGATTGTTTCCGATATTTTAATTCAATGAATGTAGAAATTGCTTGAAGCAGATGGAAAATATTTTGGTTTGTTTGGCAAAGAGTTTCATCAGACTGCACATCCTACAATGTCTTGAACAAAGCATTCGTTGATTTTTAGATCCAGCCTTTCCTGGAAGCATCACATTGATGTTGGAGCAGGCGTTGTAGATCGTGATTATCGTGGAAATGTTGGTGTTGTACTATTCAATTTATCACAGATGGATTATGAAGTTCAGCAAGGTGATCGTATTGCTCAGCTTATTATTGAGAGAATAAGCAACCCACCCCTTGTGGAGGTCAAGGTAATTTTTAAAAAATGCTTTGATCTTTTAGTTTACAAATTAATTTAAAAAATACTTTGATCTTTTAATCCACAAAACTTGAAAATTATCAAGTGCTATTCAAAAATAAGGTGAACAACAAACAGTTTCTCAAACATCAAGCAACATCACCTTTTCTTACATCACCATGAGTTGCATTTATTTTATTTACTTTCCTTTTGTTACTTGTTTCTGTTTTGTTTTCATTTCTGTTGCTTTGTTTTAACAGGAACTTGATGACACAGCCCGTGGCACAGCTGGATATGGGTCAACAGGAAAATGAAAGAGGATCATTGTTTCTGTTGTCTTAGCAGTTACACTGTTTTCCACCTGTTGCTTGAACTTAGTATCCCCAACAGAAGAATCCATCTTTCGGCCTGATTCGCCTCCATTCTATAGTTAATCATTTCAGCCATACATATCTGAGTCAGACCCACCTCTTGCAGAGGCATACAGAAAGAGAAATGACCCAAAGCCATTTGGTTTAAGGAGAAATTGTTTAAATTAGTCTTAGGGAAAAAAAAGAGGATGTGTTGCCCTTGCTCTTGAGTTATTTCATTAAAATACACAAGGTACACAACATTATTCCAACTTATGTAATACATTTGTACAGTTGTCTTGTATCTTTAAAAGGATCATAATGTTAAAATTAAAGATGTTTCTTTTTTCGAAAGTTAAAGATTGTCTCTGATGGTGATCTGTTCCTCCTAAACACTAGACATACTTACCTTTCTTCTCCTTCTCTTGTTTCTTTGCACTTAGTTAAAGAGAGATGTCACCCGTTGGAATTGTATTCCAGAAAACAAAAACAGTTTTGAGACTTTTATTATACTTTTTCTCCAGTACGAAAGCTTCTATTACGTCTGGCGTCCACCCTTTGAAACTTAAGATCTCCAATTGTTAAGAGTGAAGACGAGACTGATGCTTCTAATTACCGACCAATTTCTCTCGTCAAATTTAAATAGAATATTTGAAAAGCTACTGTGTAAGAAGGAAGGACTTTATTGACAAAAGTAAGTTAATGCATGCCTCACAGTATGACTTCCTTACGGCACACACCACAGATCGTGAGATCCATGATAGAGTCGAAACTTCACGGAACGATATGAATAGGCGTTTTTCGTGTGGCGTCTTTATTGATCTAAAAAAGGCTTTTGACACTCGATCACAAAATACTACCTGATAAACTTAATTTTTATGGTTTTCGAGGGATTATCAACGAGTCGTTCCGGTCGTACTTGACAAATCAAACGCAAATTACTCACGCATATCACGTATCAACTAAATTAATTTCTCCTTGTGTTGTTCCTCAGGGTTCGGTTTTAGGACCACTTCTCATTTTACTTTAGATGAATGACATTTAGCTATGTTCCAAGAAACTTCAATTTTTCTTATTTGCGGATGACACTAATATTATTTATGCCAAAAAAGACCTCTAGTCAATGGTCAATGCTGAACTGAACAATTTACATGACTGGCTAACTACAAATAAATTGACTTTGAATACAAAAAAATCAAATCTTGTAATTTTTCACCCTAGACAAAAGAAAATCCGTTATCCTCCTCAATTAAGTATATTTAATAGTGAAAAAATAGAAGAGTCAGTTTGGAACATAAGAGTTACATCAAGTAGTTAGGTGTTTTAATCGATGAAAATCTTTCTTGGAAAAACCATTTAGACTGTGTCATCACTAAAATAAGTAACACCATAGGAATGATTGCTAAGCTGAGACACTGTGCCATTCTCTGTACTCATAAATATTTATAAATCCTTAATTTTACCTTATTTAACAAATGGACGCATTACTTGGGGTAATGCGTCTAAAACCTATCTAAAGAAAATTTTTCTCTAAAAGCGAGTATTACGCAATCCCCTTATTTATAAATGCAAAATTTCTGCCTGTTACCTTCTGATATTATGAAGCTGTATGTAAATTAATGCTCGATGTTCATGATGACAGTGCACCTTCTAACATCATGAAAATTTTTACCAGAACTTCAAACATCGATACATATACTACTCGCTCAATGTCACAGCTCTTTAGCGTTAAGCACTGGGCCTAAAATGCGAGAAAGGCCTTTTTGCGTGTTGGTGTCAAAGTCTGGAATGAGATACCTAATGAATACAAAAACTTGTCAAAGAAATCCTTCAAAAGAGGAAACAAAAAGAGCTCTTCTCAACATCCTAGAAACTGAAGATTCTTACATGGAGCCTGGTGAGATAACAATGCTAAAATTCAAACACAGCAAAATTGAACCAAACTGAATCAGTTCTACAATATGTTTCGTACACTTAAAAACTATGACTTTCTCTCCTTTACAATTGAACATCTGCCAGTTTCCTTTTTTTTTCTTTCTTGTGTATCTTTTTGTCTTTTTATGTTCAATTTCTTCATTTCCGTTTCAGGTTATTTCCAGTGTAATTAAAATAAGTTAGTTAAAGCAAAAAAAATTGACCCGCCTCGATTAGCGTTTGCTATCTGCGGGTCAAAGGAATATCTTGTAAATATGTATGAAAATAAAAATAAAAGTGTTATTAGAATAGACGAACCTGTGAGCAAGTAAGTTATCTTATTGCGTAGCTGCCTAAAAAGATGTTGAGGTCGTACCTTGGAAGGAAGGGAGTTTACTAAAAACCCCACATACCATCCTCAGTCTTTGTGCTTCTACCCCTGAGAATTGGGTAAGAGTGCGAAAAGGCCTAGAAATGAGGTTGTCGTTCACAAGGAGCTTTTTGCTTTTGCTCTAAGCCTTAGCAGTTACTCAGAACCTTGATACCGCCAGGCTATCCAATCAATTTTCTATCTGTCAGCAAGAGTTTAATCGCTTTATTTATTCCAATTATTATTATTGCCACACTGATGATCACCGGCGTTGATTCAGTGACACTAATCCTCAGTCTTTATACTTTTTATTGTCTCCCTGGCTCAATCTATGTCAGCTAGGTTAGTTTTCTTTGCTACAACCCTGGCCTCTTTGGGCAGCTTTTCAATCCATGGCGTACAGCAGCTGCGAATCAGTTAACATCTCTGAACTTACAATTACATCATCTTGATTTGCCAAAGGCGAGCATGATAAATTAATCCGAGAGATAAATAACGCCAACGTTATGTTTTTTTCACCTTTTTTTTAACTCAAGCGACGGACTTCGCCAAAAAGAAGTCTAGAATGCGACTTACCCTTCAATTGAAATCGATTAGCACAACTTTTTTCTTCATTCATATTGAAAACTGAGCAGCTCCAAGCTCTTGTGAAGGGATAGTTACCTTCATCCCCAAGGGAATTACAACTTTGGTATCAAACTCACGAGTAGAAATAGATTCCCGGCAATGGACCTCTTCTGTAAATAAATTTTTGTCTTTGTTTTGTTTTGCTATTCATGTTCAAATATCCATGTATTTCATGCTGTTTATGTCAAGTGCGCAACAGCTGTAACTCCTACTTACGAGCTTGTGATCAAAATTCTGCTTCCTCACGAATGTTGGTGTATATTTAAGTTTCTCCTCTGCGATAGAGACTGAACCTATGGCCTCTGGAACTTGGCTTGGATTTTGTCAAGTATAACTTCACTAATGGACAGATTTCCTTGGCTAACGAACTGAAAGGTTGCCCTCTTTTTCCCCTCAGCGAAACGTGTAGTTGCTTGCAGCAAATCGTGTCATCATGTCAGGTATAAATTTGCATATCAACCTTTGTTACCAGAAATTTGATTCACCTTGCCACAACACGTTTCGTGTATTCGAAAGTAGAAGTTTCCTTACAAAAATTTTTCCTTGCAAGTCTAGTTTACGGGCCATCTGTCATCGTTTTTTGATTATCACTTTTATCAAAACCACATCAGTAATAACCAAAGAAAGTGACCAAGACGAACAAAGAAAGTTAAAAAATTCAAGGTCAGGTTTCCAAGAACGCCCTCTTTTTTCTGTAAAAAACGGCAAAGATTCACTCCGGTTTAACTTTAAAATAGATAATTTAGTTGTAGACAGGTGTTATATAGATGTTTATTTCAGGTGTTTAGGTCTCTAATCCCCTAAAGATCATTTCTGTACCTGTCAGCCCTTGAAAGGTGCTCGTACAGTTTGGGAAATTCACAAGTAACTCACGTTTCGCTTGAATATTTGGTCGAATGAGGTACATTTTGCTAGGCACAAAATAGGAACAGAACAAAAAGAAAGAAAGCATCATTGCAATCATCCGTCTTAAATTCTCTCCTGCCCTTTGGCATACCTTGCAGTGTTAATGAAGAAGACGGGAGGAGAGTTCGTGTAGTTCTCGTTAGACACAACATAAGTAATCAAAGCAACAACAAAAGCAAGATTTCCTATTGTTTCCCGTTTTCTGCTGACCAGTTTTATCATTATTTTTATCAATATACTTCCCGTTAAGACAAAAGGGTACCATTTTAGTTTTGTGTCAAACCTTAAATTTAGCCTGCATAAATATTTGAAGCCTCCGAGAGACTAACAAATGACTTTTTTGGAAAAATGTATAGAATGATAACTGAGAACGAACGGAAAATTTAATGCTTTGCTCCGCAAAACAACGCACTAAGGTTGGAAAGGCTATATAATAACTTTTTGAGGGGCTAAAGCCGAGGAAACATTTGTCGGAAAAGGGCGTAGTCGATATTTCTTGAAATAAATCTAACTTGACTATTTAAGAATTACATTAAATGAGATTTCTATATTTACACCTGTAACAGGTGGCCTTGTCTCCCTCTGTGCGGTGGAGTTTACAAAAAGCTGAGCCCTGCAGAGAATTACGGATTACTTGTAAAGGCTGCTTGCCTGCAGACTGATAAAAAGCAAGCGAGTTTCGATAAGGGACAAAACGAAATCGGTCTTTTTTCTTGATTCGACTTTAAATCATCTTTGTTGTCACGGTAAGTAAGTTTTCGCTTGCTTTTGCTTTCTTGACCGCAGTAAGTCTAGTCGTACTGGTTGAGGCGAGACTCACGGGGAAAACGGTGCGATAAAGACGTTGTCAACATGGATATCGGCAAACTACATCCGATAAAAAAATTCAATTCTTTTCGGAAACTTCACTGTTCATTATAAGTCTAAGTCTGTATTACATACAGTTGCTGATGAGTGTAAGTCTCCTGCATCTAAATGTTATCCTGGCCCGGGTTGTTCAAATCTGGGTTAAGATAACACAGGGTTAGCAAGGAATTTGATTTCAGGTCTGAAAGCTTAAAAGAAAATTCAGTTCAAATCTTTTTGCTTGCAATTTGATCATTGGATGTTCTAAAAAGAATAGGGAAAATTTTCACTAAAAGGCTTAGGAAAAAAGAATATAGAAACTTGCATTAAAATTTAACCCTGGGCTAGCACTAATCGGCCTTTGAACAACTGGGCCCTGATGCGTTAGCAAATTTATTTGCCTAATTGGGACCTGTACAAACTTCGCCGGCCAATAGAGGACTCAAAGAAAAAAACGTTACTAATATTTCCAGGCGAGAAATAATGAAGACTAAAAGAATATGATAAATACCCCATTTCTTACAGTTCCTGTCGCTCCTTAAATTAAACGCTAGTTTTTTTTTTGTTTTGTTTTGTTTTGTTTTTTTTTTTGATGAAGGTCCGCAAGGATCAATTTTTCTCTTTAGCGCACATTCCAGATTCCTAGGTAAATAGGAATGTGCCT